TTACCCCCCCCCTCCCTTGTTTGCCTCTGTTGTCCTCCACACGTGATTCCACACGCCGCCACGCCATGCGAGGCTTGCAGTGCACTTCTGAGCAAAGTAAAGAATGCTTTCACCGCGGTAAAGACACGACCTTCTCAATGGCTTGCAGACATGCAGGCTCTCACACAGACACGAGCGTCTCGAAGTGCCCTATGCGCAAGATGCAGCCAGTTGTCCGCGCAAAACACTGAGGAGTTGATGAAATTTTGTTTACGCTTGAAACATCAGATCGAGACGACGATCTCGGAGGTATGTAGCGCATTTGTGCGTATGCAAAAGAGAACTAACACGCCTATTCAGATTTACAAGGAAGAGATCAAATATGCCGATGGTCGATTGACGCGGGGTGTGAAGGCATTTGATGTAGCTACTCTGTTTAAACCCCGGCATCCTTGATCAACTACCGACGCATGTTGTACAGTACATTCGCAAGTCGAATAGACTTTGCCTGAAAACAGACGACCAAACACCGACACTCTGCGAAGATCGTGTCCAAAAAGGTTGGTTGCGTGAAAAACACTGACGGCAATGGGATCCCTTGCGGCTCTGCCATTCCATCGCTGATCCTGTTGCAGACGACTAAGGTCGACGTGGTGTTGGCAGCGGCAGTAAAGTACAATGCTGCACCCCGGCATGCACCTCATCCTGGAACGCAGCAGAGGACCCGCTGACCGCATCAATCGAGCGTCCCCCACCGTGGCTTGCCGAAGCGGGGTCGCTATCCGTTACATCATCATAGAAGATGTTGCTGTAGCCAGATGAGAATCTCGCGGAGGGAGATGCAGAGGTGCTAGTGCGAGTGTATGCACGGTCAGTGCGCGATGAGGTCGAGGATGTGATCACAAAGGTGGGCTTGAGCTCGATTGGCATTCCCAGCCAGCGAATCGCTAGTGAACTGACACCTTCCATGACAGAAATGTTATGGAACGTTCAATGTTTCATCTTGAATCACAGAACTGAGGATATGGACAGTATGTATGTTGCAATGGGCTTTCGAACGTCTCAATCGATTTGAATGTGCTCAGCGCTGTCGATAGTGCACACGGTCAAGGCTAAATAAACTCCACTGCGATGCACAGTGCAGAAAGTGGTTGCTGCAGGTTAGGAATAGTACTCACAATTGGAGAATTTCCGACGAACTTTGTGGTCTGCTTCTAGCATTTTCAACTTAGATTGTTGTTCTTTCATCAACTCTTAGATGGTATACGATCCATACTGATCTCTTCGTTTATTGCGAACAGTCATATGAATGCCCATGAAATTTACTTCAGTATCCGTTCGAATGACCTTGAATTCAGTCTGGCCCTCTTTCGCTGAAGTGATTCGCTGTATATAGTAAAATACGAGTTGGCTTAAAGTACAATTATGCCCGAAGCCCGCGATCATGACCTTATACACCTCATCGATGGCAAGAACCTCAAGCGTTCATGTTCTGCTGAGTCTCTCCCTTGTCCTGACGAAGGTTTCCTGCAGTTACTTCCGTCAGCGACTTCCACGTCTTTGCGGATGACAAAACACCTACCAGTAGTCTCTTGGCTACGATCTCCGGACACTGCGCCCACTACGGCGTCCTTCTTCCCTCCCAATCTGTCCATCGTGCCCTCGGCATAGCCTTTGGCCTGGGCTGCCTTGTACTCGGCTTCACCTTGGTTATGCTCGTCCTTGCCCGACTGTTGCCAGGACTCGGAACCCATAAAGTTCCCCATCGTCTCTACAGCAGTTCCCTTCACCGAGTGGTATTGACCCGTGGTTTTGCTGAGATGAAAGGGTAAGTAAGTATAGATCCAATGCCTTGAGACGAGAACTCACTTGGGCTCTCCGGTGTTTGTGGACATGATGCGTATAGAGTGAAGTGAAGATTCGGGGATGGTGGCTGAGTTCAAGATGCGAATGAGAGGAACTTATGTCGACGATCGCCTTATATGAGGCTGCCTCGGTTCCCTTCACGCATTTTGTCGCGTCACATCGCACCTTGCTGTTGAACGCGTCCTAAGCCATGACGTCACGCGTCCGAAGAGATCTGTGACGGGATCTAACGCCATCGCCCTCTCGACGCTTACGCTTCCAGATATGGAAATGCTCTCTACGACGTCACCTGGTCTCCCGACGTCACCGCGCTCCATTGGTCCCAGGGCGCAGATGCATGACGAGGTGGCGTGCATGCCATCATCGAGCGGCCAGGGATGTTTCGTATTTTCTCGAGCTGTGGAGTCCGCTTGGCGGTGTCTCATCGGGACACTATATAAGCCCAGTGAATTGTCCCCATTTCTTCAAACAGGTCTCATTCATATCTGACACTCACCCACCTCTTTCTCATATACCAACTCATCGCACCATGTCTTCAAACACCAACACCAACTCTTCCAACAACACCGGCGAGCCCAAGTAAGCCACTTTTAGTCCTTTGCTTTTATCCCGTGAGACTGATCGTTCTGTAGCAAGACTACTGGGCAATACCACTCGTTGAAGGGAACTGTGGTCGAGACCATCGGAGACCTCACTGGTGCCACGTCCTGGTCACAATCAGGCAAAGAGGAGCATGCACAGGGCGAGACCGAGTACAACGCCGCCCAGGCGAAACAGTACGCCGAGGGAACCGCCGATCGCTTAGCGGGAAAGGCGGATGCTGTTCTCGGTGCCATCTCCGGCGATCGCCAGCAAGAGCTATCAGGTATGTCTCAGCTACACACAGCGAGCTATTCTCACATCAAGCGTGCAGGCAATGCTCAGCACGACAAGGGCCAAGCTCAGCAGGAAATAAACAAGCCCGCTGTCTAACAACTTCCGTCTACGTGTAATATTGTATTTATACCCACATAATAAGAGTGCATGCCGGCTTAAAAATACTACCGTAGTGACGCTCTTAGAATAGTACGACTCATAATTATGACACGTCACTCATTTCGGCGTGAAATACTGAGTCTAATTGTATAAGGATGCAATGGATGTATTCTACCTCCCTCTCATTGTACTTGATAGACGAGCTTGAGGAATAATTTACTTCTGAAAATGCATATAAACAGTTTTATAGGAGTACGATGGGGCCTCATGTCAATATTCACGGTTGAGAACACTGCAACGTAGCTTCCACATATCGGATCCCAGTTTGACCGAAATTGTCCCGCATCGTAGAAATAATGATATCATAAGTCAATGCTTGTACTAACAAAGGCCGTCAGTTTCCCCAAACAAAATCGAGTGGATCTAGCACTCACGCTTCAAGAAGAAATACATGTAATATAACACGGGAAACCACTGGAATACACAGGCACAGCGGACCCTATGTTTACGTACCCACACGCATACAGATACCACCATGTCCACAACACGGCGCATCCTGCTGTAGAGCTGTAGTTTCCTCACTGGGATCGAGCGTTCGCACAACGTCTGCCAGGTCACCTTCGATCAGCCTGGATGTCAATGCAGGATTGAACTCTTCAAGTGGTCGCTTAAAGTCGAGCTGGAGTAACTTTAGGCGTGCACCATAATCCCTCCTTGACTCAAAACACTCCACTGCCCACGCAATGTCCTCCTGCGACACATCATCGTGTGAGACGATGAACTCCTTGAGACCGGGACATAGTATGAACCCCGTCTCGCCGTCCACGGACGTCCTTGTGCGCTTAAGCGCGTTAAAGAGCGTCGGCATCCCGCAGAACGGCGCCGAGAGCTCAAGGCGTTCAAGCGCAGGCATGTGTTCGAGGATGTGTATCCAGTCCTGCGTGAAGAGCTCGTAGTCGAGCGCGCGCACGACCAGCTGCCGCACGCCCACGAAGCGCACGAGGTCCCCTACGTGCTGCAGCCGCGTGACGAGCGTAAACTCGTCCACGCCCTCGCGCCAGTCCCACTGTACGTGCACGGTTCCGCCTGCGGTCGTGCTGAACTTGAGCCCCTGCACACCAATGTGGTCATACACGTCGAGCGAGACGCTCTGTACGTGCGACACAATACTATTGTCAAGAATGATGCGCTCCGTGGGTGGGTGCTGCAGCGCAAGGACGACGGTCGAGGTGGAGGGAAAAGCGATTCGTGAGAGGATCTTGGCCGCAACGTCGTGGTGTGCCACGAGGAGGAGGTTGGCTAATCTGGGCAGATGTATGGGGTCCGTATCCAATAGGACGCTTCGAGGGTCACAGGCGAATTTAGAGTTGGTGAGGCCCAGGCCCAGGGAGTCTAGCATGGGACACTTTTGCAGTGTCCATAATAACTGCACTAAGGACGGTGTGGGCTGGTTCATGAGCAAGATTTGGGTCAAATTTTCGTACGGACGCCACTGGAGCGAAAGCTGTGAAATAATGATAGACCTGAGGGACGGCATTTTGTCGTCAAAAATCTGGATCATATCCATGTCTCGGGAATCAGCTGGCTTTTGCTCTGCGGAGACGACGAGTGTGCTCAGATGAGGCGCGGCGTTTTTGAAGGGGGAGAGGATGATGTTTGTTTCTACCGGAGAGAAACGTGAGATATATAGGGAGTTGATTCGGTGTGTTGCCACGGCACACATCGCCGCAAGGTAGCGAACCATGGGGTCAAGGTCCTGGAGGGACGGCCCTTCGATGCTGACACTGAGAGCAGATTTTCGGGACCTCTTCAAAAACTCACGGAGCATGTTCGGACCGCAATCATTGTTGAACATTATCGAAGTCCAGAGCCGAGGGGAGTTCAGCGCGACATTGCGCCAGTACCGACACACATAGGTGACCGCGAGCCAGCTCCTGCCTTCTTTGAGCGCCTTGCGACTCAGTGGGCGTGGCTCGTTAGCCCCAGGCATGGCTACGAGGGTGTCGAATATCTCATACAGAATGTCATCGGAAATACGCGCGATGGGTGTCGATGTCGGATGAAGAGGAGCCAAACACATGTAGTTGTCGGTATAGGTTCTCAAGGGAGGTTCAGATGACCTGACCTGTCGGGCCGTGAGTATATTTCCAGGAATAATAGTGCAATATGCTCACCAGTAATCGCACATTCATGGTAGACCGACAGTCGGCGCTATGCTCGAAAGCGATGGATGGCTGTGAACCACAGGAGAGGAGTCGCGTGACTACACTTGATCGAACCCCAAATGTGGCTGAGAGCGTTCGTCATTATCTTATCTTGCTCGTTCTTTCTCGACTGCCAGTACTTACTGTTCTGAATTCCTCAACTTCCTGCACTGCAAGTTGTGGCTGATAATATTTTGCGAATACGTTCACCAGTGAACGGAATGCTAGGGGCGCTAGTAGAGACGGAGAGCGTTTTCTCTCTTGATGCACCAAGGTCGTATAGCTCGCTCGTATGCTTGAATTTCGGAGTGTGTTTTCATCCGTGTCTCACACATCCAATATGTTGCTCACGCAAGTGAGATTTTTGCGGACAGGTCATTGATCCGCACTATCTGAAGGGTAGCGTGAGAGACAAAAATGTATTACAAGGACACTGGCATGGAAGTGTGGTTTGTGACGTATTTCATTTCTGGTTTAGTCTCTGCTAGCAAATATTTGTCTCCGTCTTCTGACCTACGATGTTCTAGGCTACGTCTTCATCAGCGCCATGTCAGAACATTCATAACGTTCGTCGGATATGCAATAGTACCATTCAAGGTACTGATATGCAAGTACTTGGCTATTGGCTGTGAACGTGTCGACACACAAAGTGCATCTCTGTGTTGGCATAGTAGTCCATGATACTACATGAACTCTGTGGGTCACCACTGTATATTTTTCGTTGACATGCGTTCGAGATGATCTCGCCCAAATCAGTTATTTTGAACGCTCAGACCACACAACTCCGCCTTCATCATCGCATTCACCGATGGGAATCCCTTGGCCTGTTGTGAAGTAACATATGCATAGCTCTTATCAAACTGGCTCCGCAGCATCATAACCCGAAATGACTGAATGCTCACTAAGGCAGCCAAATAAGGCGGGAAGGTAAGGTTCAACTTCGTACTCAGGAACAAACAAGTCATTTAATCTTGTTTGCTTTTGATAATCTTCTAGTGACTACCAGAAACACAGCTTAATTTTCGCCTGATTCACCCTCTCAGAAGATCCTGCTGATGAATGCATAATAGTGATCGAGTACATCGCTGAAGCATCGTCTCACGCAGACTCGGGTTTAAATGCATCAGTCCGATGACATTGTCACATTTATTCACAAACCCACCGCTTGACAATCTCCGACTCAATCTCTCTGAGCGGTACTAAGGCGAACTTAAAGCGCAGTGGGCTGCTACCCATCGTGAAGGAATCATTGTACGGCGACCTCGCGCCAGCCTCCGCTAACCATGCAGCCTGCTCGTGTAGTTTCATTCGAACACCGCCGCTCGAAGTATGGTGTCGATCCTCCGCCTTACAATCAGATCATTCCCCAGTCTCAACGTCCGCGAGGTCGACCGGCCGCCTCTACATTGTCTATATCTCGTTCTCCTCTGCCTTCATTGACGGACACAAAGTCTAGGACCTCAATACATTCCGTTCCCATGTCATTCACTGCATCGGCTGGCATAGAGCTAGGGCACAGAAGGCCCGGCGAACTTACTCGAAGGAGGCTGTCGGATGCAGGCCGAGCACCACTCGATCTTATGGGAGATGAATGGGAGCTGGGCTCACGACCACAAGTTGGCTCACCCGAAAGGCAAAAGCCGGCGTCCACTCGTGAAGTAAGTATGGATTCTATATGTGACTGAATATCACACTGATGGTCTCGATAGCGAGTGACTAAGGCCGTCACGAATGTCCTCGGTACGACAGCTGAAGTTGCGCACGAGCTTCTGGCAGAAGGAGAATGCCTACTCGAGTTTGCCCCGATCCCCGGTCTGGCGATTGTAGCAAGGTCATTGCTCGCGATCTGGGATGCTTATCGTGCTTTTAAGGTAGGCGCCGCGCATGCGTTGTGGTTCTCATGCATCGGGACTGAGAGCCATGTAGCACACTCATTCAGCTTGCGAGGCTTTGACGGATCGGTGTGCTGTCATCCTTCTTTTTGTGCGGAGGGAAATTTCACGAGCTGGCGATCGCATTGCAGCAGATCTCAAGCCTTCTATCAAAAGTCTTGAGGAGTACGTGTCTTCGGCTCTCACCCTCTGCATAGTTATTCAGTGTACTATCACAGATCGTTCGGAGTGGTGCGCGGATATTTAGAGGAACAAAGCCAGAAATCACTCCTTAAACGGTTTGTGGAGCGTGAGGAGATCCGAGCAAAAATTCAAGAATGCCACCAAGGCCTCACGGATGCCCTGGCCATGTTTGGGGTAGGTTTCGCTTAATATATGACTGCCATCGAGCTCAGTGAACGCTAGGTTGCCATCCAGTTCCGGATCCTACAGCAGGGCGAGAAGCCCGGAGAGCTGCTACGGGATGCCATATACGAACGGCCAGAATACATCAATACCCAGCAATCCTCCACGTTGATTGACATGGCTTCCCTCGATTGCACAGAGCCATCGGGCTCGATTAGTCTCCCAGGTGACCCGGACGACCAGACAGCAGGCATGACGCACGAGCAGATTCGCAACTACTTAGCTGCCGCAGACGCACGGCAGCTCACTTGGGATCTCGCGCAGGATAGGGTCGAAATGTGGAAACTGATGGAAAAGGTGCTGGCGGAGGAGAGTCTGACAGAGACGGAAATTATCGAAACCTTTCAAATCGGGCGTGATGAAATACCCGAAACCATTGCGATGTTGCAGGAAGCCTTGGCGCACGAGTCCAAGTCCGAGATAAAGATGAGGGCCATGACCCAAGACGTCTCAACCGACGCGGTAAAACACTCTAGCGCCGTTGGGACGTCTATGTCCGCTCCATACTCGTCGCGCACGAAGCAGGCCGAGGACCTGCAGGAATTCGAAATGGTCTTGAGGGATCGAGACCGCAGATTCATTGAAGTGGGGCTCAAGGCTTTGAGCAGTGTGCAGCAGTCACTGCCGAGTTGGGCAATTATGGAGTACGAGGTCATCCGCGACGAGAGGATTGGCATCGGATACTACTCCGATGTGTATAAAGGCATGTGGCGAAATCGTTCGGTTGCAATCAAAGTCCTCGGGAAGGCGGTCCCACAAGAATTGTTCATGAATGAGGTGAGTTTTTCCAAGTCGCTATTGGGAAATTATGAGCGAACCCATTTTTTTTCAGGTCGAAGTCTGGAAAGAGCTCAGCCATCCCAATGTATTGGAGTTCCTGGGTGCATCATTCCTCACAAGCGATCCACCGTGGTTTTTCGTCAGCCCGTATATGAAGAATCGCGACCTAGTATCGCACCTCAAGAAGCTGCCAAGTCTCGACTCAATCAATCCATTTAAGATGATTCACGAGATCACACGAGGTATGGCGTATCTGCACAGGGAACAAGTGTTACACGGTGATTTGAAGGTATGTATCTTGACTATTTGCACTTTTGAGTGCACCTTACCTGTGCGTCAGGGTACAAATGTCTTAATCGACGACCAGGGTGTGTGTGTCATCGCGGATTTTGGCCAGAGCAAGATGAAGTCAGGACGCATTCGGGAAATTCAAGCCACAAACGGCTTAGGCGATCATCAAAGCGCCAGTACTGCCTCGCGTCTCAACATGAGCAAAACCAATCAGGACTACCCGGTGAGAAGGAAAGCCATCAGACATGATCGTACGTTGTACGCTTGCACGTTCCTTTGCAACCCGCTCACCTCGAGTCTCCACCTTTGGGATGGTAGATGAAGCTCTGCGATGGCAGGCGCCAGAGCTCATGGCAGGCAGGTGCGAAATGACGCAGCAGACCGATGTCTATGCATTTGCGATGTGCTGCATCGAGATCCTTGGGAAGGGTGAGCCGCCGTGGTCAGCCAAGGACGACAACGCCGTGCGCCAGTTTGTGCTCAGTGCGCATCGCTCTCGCTTGTCTTCTCCGAGACCCTGCTGACCGTCTTTTCTCACTAGGAAAAAAGACGAGACCCAAGATTCCTCAAATCGCCGAGAGATGGATGCCTTATGTTGAGAGCGTCATCAAATCCTGCTGGGATCATGACCCGTCTGTTCGGCCTTCGTTTGAGAAGTTGGTCCGTGATATTGGGCAGCATCGTCTTCTCCTGGACACGGATACGAAAGATCTCGAGGAATCCAAAGGGTGGTTCGGTCATTCCTCGTATCTTTATGTTGTATTGGTAATCCTGTTCCTCTTTCTTATTTCTGTAACCCACGCTGGCATCGATTTTGTATCGTAGAGAGTTCAGCGATCACAATCTTCATGCACAAAACTTGCTACTCTCGAGATCCCTATTCTCCCCATTCTCCTTATTCTGCCCTCGTCCGTCATGTGTCGCATCGGGGTCAAATTCTGTTTTATAGCCCCTCATTTCCTCGTCCTCCTACCATGGTAATTTAAGGGGAAGCTGAACACGTCGTAGTGAGTTTTGGTAGTAGCAGACATGCCGATGTATGCCGCCTAAACGCACCTTCGCAAGGACAGCGTCCAAGCTTTTGCACATCTGCTTCAGCGCATAGTTCAGCATATCAATGGCATCCACCTTGCACTGGGTACATGCTATGTACGACCCCTCCTCCATTAGCTGTACGTGCAGTATGCGGTTCTCCACCACAGTCGCACCGCACGGCAGATGCACGACAGACTTGGCCAGTACATCCTGAAACTCATGCACGTCAATCTGGATTCGCTGCCATTTACTGCAGCAAGTAAGGTGGCTGATCTGCGGCGGCTGTATATGTTGACAGCGCTCGCAAGAAAGCGTCATGAAACGACCTTTGCTGTCGTGGTCGGCACACGACTCGCCGTCACCCGAGCCTAGTCCTCTGAATAATCCCCACTGATCGGTGCAGCGCACAAATTCGATCGCAGCCGCGACGCATCGGGCGCGGTACTCCATCAGGAGGAACACCGCGTCCAGCGAGATCTCCTTGTCCCAGCTCGAGATTGGGGCGCGGTGCCGCAGCGTGCCCCTCGCCGCGGCTGCCGCCTCTGTGTGCAATCTGAGATGCCATGCAGCAGCAAAGGCGACCTACACCGCGCGTCTGTCGTCCAGGAACCATGGTTCGAGTAGCATGGGGCGCACACGCGCCACGACACCATCTAGTGCGTATTTCCTCGCGGCCTCGAGAACAGCTGCAATCGCGTCGACAGTGGCGAACACCGGGGGCGAAAAGGGATAGCACAATCGCAGGAGTGCGTCGATGATCTCGCTGGGCTCAGTAACGAGTATGACGGGGAGATCGTCCTGACGAGACGTCGGGGCATTGTTGCCGTCGTTAGATGATGTGGTAGTGGTTGGAGAGGCTAGAGAAGTGTGGGTGTCGACATCATTATTGGGTGTGGGAGGAGGCTGGGGGAGAGCGAACATGCCCTCGAAGAACGGGGACGCTTCAGAGAGGATCAGCCGGTGCACTTTAAAGTCGACGCCGTCCGAGGTGCGCATAATTACATCTGCTGTGGATTTGGTAAACGGATAGGAAGATGGCTGACGCGGCGGCTCTGCACCCATTTTGAACTGCCGTTGTGTTCACTTCCACGTACGGTGTCGGCTTGGCAGAGATCTTGCTCCCTGCGTGCGGATCAGCTTAGCGGGATATGCCCCAAATTGAAGCAAACTGAAACATCATCAGTCACTTTGCATGAACCAAAGCACAGAAGGAAGAATGCACTACCTTCTGTGCTGTTGTCGACACCACAAACCTGATTTTGGTGACAATGTACCCGTATATACACTATACGTACAGCAAGATCAGCAGAATAGCTCAGACCAACATTGAGCGAGTACCGCGTTCAGCGCACATACGATGAAAATACAATAGGTGGGCAATCGGAGGACACAATATGTCTTGATGGTGCAAGGGCAGGCAGAACGGAAAAGGATAGGGGCAAGGGGGCAAAGAAAAGGAAAGGGGTGAGCTTGCTGCCTCATACTTAAGCACCTGTCATTGCGGAACATAACTGCCGCGCGCTCCCTGGTGTCGTCCCCATCGAGTGGTGG